TTTCCCCCAAAAAAAAAAAAAAAAAAAAAAAAAATCGAAATTAACCTAAATTACCCTTTTTTTCTTTCTAGAATGACTTCAAATTTTACCATGAAACTGCCTTCATTTATCCTAAGCAGCTCTAAGTTCGTAACAGTATACATATATTTATAATGAAATTTTATTGTTTTATTACCCTCTTTATTGCCCTTTGAACCATGTCTAACTACCATCTGCACCATTATAAGTTGTAAATCACTCATGGAACATGCAGCTTACGTTATGCTATCAAATTAAGTTACCCACAAGCTACCTGTGTGCGAGCCTTGTGAATTATTTTAATTATATTATTATTATTACTTATTTTACATAATCTAAGTGTAAATAACTTAAAAAGATCTGTATTTTTATAATTTAGTTACTTTTATAATAATAAATATAGAATAAATATGAAAAACAAGAAATAAAGTACTTACCCAATTTTCTTTTTTCTTGCTCTCAGGTTTTCGGAGAGTTTAGCCTAATTTTTTATACTATAGATAATAATGCACTTAATTTTTATTTAATTAAAAATTCACCATAGAATACAGACTAATAGCATGCAAAAAGTAGACAAATTCCCGTAACTCTCAAATTTTTTTCTGGGTTTCTAACTATGCGACAAGAGTTGTTACAAATTCATCCATGTTAGTCATTAACTTTCCCATGGAAACGAATCTTGTACTGTGAGTGAAATTGACGATATTCTTTTCAGAATACAATGTTATACAATACGTCATTTGGTAGATCAAATCCTTGACTTTCTATTGGTTATAGGTAATATATATTTAAACATGAAAGAGAACTATCAACGAATTGTGAAAGAAAGGATGTGACAGATGGGTGTGATAGGAGGGGTCTGATTTTCTAATCAATAGCTCTGTATCCAAACCAAATTGAAGGCTATAAAAATTATAGTTTGTTTGAACAATAACAATTTTATAGAGAGTATTTCATGTTTAATTTTGTACTTTTTCGAGGGGTGGTGGATAAAATGCGTCATGTGGGTCACTCTAGTGGAAATTCATGATTTTTTTAAATATTCCCTTGTAGATTTAAGAACTTAAAACTTGTATACTATTAAAATATAGATTATTAGCTAAGATTTTATGTTATTCTAATTGGTATAACATAAACAAAAAGTAAAATTTTGAATGTAAGACACTAAAACCTTGTGTCATGCGCAGTAAAGGGTATCCGGGGGATAGGGTTGGACAATTTTACTCTCAATGTATGTCAATGAAATTAACATTATAATGCATGTTATAATTTAATGTTTCATGTTACTTAAGTTTTAATTCCTTTATTTCAAAGAAACCTTAAAAAAATTACTTAAACTTCAGTCTTGTTCTTACCTGATGCATGAGTGTTCATAATTCTGAATTTACACAATCTCGTATTTGAATCAGACAATTACAGTGTCTGTAGATGTGTGTCTAGACAAAAATTATATCTACTGCACTAGTTACATGTATATTCCAAAATTATTTGGTTGAGTTTAGTTGAAACAAGATATAAATTTTGCCAACCCCTGATTGGTGTCACATCCACTTTCTGTACTTAGCCTTGATATAAATAACACATTTTTAATAGAAAGACTTAATTAAGATAATGCCATTCTTTGTGTACAAGATACTTAGAATCTTTACCAAAATCATACCAGTTTTTGTGAGAGTACTTTAAGAAAACTCAGAGTTACTGTAAGTATTGTTGCACACAGATATAGTTTCCCAGGTGGGCTCTTGTATTTTACGATCCCATTGTGAAAGGGTTAAATAAGATTAGATTAGGTAAAATTATGAAAAAACAACAACAACAGAATTCTACAAGAGATATGCTTGAGAACAGCTTGCGCAGTATGTCATTAAATATAGTAATGTGAGCTACATAACTGCCAAGTGATTTATAACTCCTGTGATTATTAATAAGACACAGTTCAAAGGGCATTAAAACAAAAAATTAGGTACAAACAGATGTGGACTTTTATGAGCTTTAAGCTATTTAGGATAAACAATTGTACTCACCTTTTACAATCCCCAATCATTCAGAAAGCAGAAAAAAAATGTAATTTAAACTTATTTTGTATCCTTCATGGTGACAACAAGGTTGGTCAAACTGACTGAGTAGAGTTAGGGTTGAGAAAATAACAGATAAAATATAAAGTTTTACTAAAAAAAGAAGTTTGATATTTATTTAGGTGGCTTTTGAGGTTACGGAAATGAAATTTGACAATTTTCAGATGAAGAAAAGTATTTTTAATCTTAAAAGGAAAATCATTTTGCAGTCAACATTTTGTCTTCATATATTCTTTAGTAACAATACTTAATTAAAAAATCTGATTTTTTTTGTGCAAAACAATGTAATTTTTACCGAAGGCTTACCAAATTTTGTGAATATACACAAAACCTATTAACAGTTATAGTATGGAAACTGTGGTGGTTTCTTTGTGGTTATAATTGGGTCACATCAACCAACTCTTTATGGAAGGAGTTAAACTGTTATCTTTTTTGGTATTCATGCATACCATGTGTTTTCCACCTTCTTTTTTTTTGATGTAAAAATTATTTGTTTATTCTGAATCTATGCAGTTTATGCATAACATGTGAGAGTTGGGCATTTTAACCAACCTTGTAACCATGAGATTATACATATTATAAATATGAATGTACTAAGTGCATTTTCATAAAATTTGGCAGGCTTTAAGTAAACATTACAAGTCTGTTGTACACAAGAAATTAGATTTTTTAGTAAAATTGTTCGTAAATTTACGAAGCTAAGAATAAAAGTACTTCTTTTCATCTCACAGCTTTCATGTTTGCATAATCTCTAGTATCTCCTAAAGGATTATCAGTTTTTTTGGTAAAACTGTATATTTTATATTTTCTCTATTCTTAACACTAACTGTAGTGAAATCATCAATAGCAAAAGCTGACAAATATGAAATAAAATAAGAAATTAATTTTATTTCTAGATTGATTGCAGATTGCAATAGATAATCAAGATTTTTTATCCTAAACAGCATGAGGCTGGTAATAGTTTACATCTGTTGTCATTTAATTTTCTTGTTTTATTGCTCCGAACTGTGTCCAGCTAGCATAACAAAGCAATGAATCATCCAGCAAGAGCTTAGTGCAAATTATGGTAAACAAAATCCAGGGTTATATCAATTATGTCACATGCTGCATATTACTTGTACAGTGTGTAAGGAGAATTTTTTAGTTTTTCATTTAACTTTTCTTATCTAACTTAATAAGTTTATGATTTTTACATTTTAGATACTTTTGTTGAAAAAAAGATGTACACTTACTTTAGCCTCGAAGCACTTAGTTTAGTTTTGAAGCTTTTGCATTTGAATGCATGATTTATTAAGCTTATTCTTTTCTCCCTTTGTTGGTTTTCAAAAAATACTTCATTTATCTTTCAAATACACATTTTAGGACACAACAAATTCATCAAGCACTAGATTAAAACATCCAAAAACGAATGAACTTATCTGGCTTTCTAATTGAACTATGAATAAGTTAAAAAGAATTGTATTACTTTTTGGAACAGTATTTTAGTTCAATCCAATTGAGCTGTCATGGCAAATTATTGAGTTTTACCACGGAAACAAAACACAGTCATATGATTTATGTTGTGTAGTATTTGTTCTTTTATATTTTATGTTCAATAGCAATGTTAAATGGAATTATAGACATTTCTTGAAAGATAGATTATAGGAGGGCAGTGCCAGTGTGGGTTGAACAGATCTAGAGGGTAAGAGGTTGATATTTTATATTCTGATTTGGAAATATCTATATCATTTGTTTGTGATTGGTTGAACAAGCTGAGGCCCTTGTAAATAAAGAGAAATAAGCTATAAATGAGAAGTCACAGTGCCACCGAGTCGTGACTGAGAAGTGCAAATTGAGAATTTATTTAAGTATTTTCTTTTAAAATCAAGAAAATATAACATTGATAATATAATAAAGTAGTTTAATAAAATTTTGAATGTAACTGTAAAATGATTGTGGCATGCACACTTTAACTCACCCATATCCATAAAGTTAAGTTGATTTTATTCTAACTGCTCTAGTTCTATTATTATTCTCTGGAGATAATACCTTTTGTGCATATTGCAGTAGTGTCCTTCAGTGGTAGATTAAGTGATATCTCGAGGTTATGGCCTTTTTTAATGTTAAGTACATGAATAGTGCAATGGGTAAATTTGACTTTCTCCATTAAGTAAGAAACTTTAGATTTAAACAGTCTACACAAGATCTCATTGAGTTGGTTCATGGAAAGACATTCTGAGGGAAGAAAATCAATTAACCCTCTCTAAGGACACCCTTTACTGTGTGCAAGGTTTTTAGTGAGTTACATTCAAAATTTAATTAAAATACTTTTTGTTCATGTCATGCCAATTATTATAGCATAAAATCATACCTCATAATCCACATTTTTATAGTACATAAGTTTTAAGTTCTTAATTTTATTAGGCAATATTAAAAGAAATTGTGAATTTCTCCTTGTGAGAAATGTGAATTTTTTTCACTAGGCATCTCCTCTTCTCTAATTTATTAACTGCCCCTACAATAAGTATGAAATTTGATGTAAATTACTTATTATAATATTGTCATCATTCAGGCAAAGAATAATTTTCATAGCATTCAATCTTGTTGGGTTACAGAGCCATCAAAAAGAAAATCAGACCCCTCTTGCCAAACCCTCATGTCACATTCTCTTTTTAAAAATTTGTCAATAGTTCTCTCTTACATTTAGCCCTTTCAATATGGGTCACAAATGAAAGGCCATGTTATCTTTTGTGTTGACTCG